CCTTTATATGATATCACTATAACACCTGATCATATCTAGCTTTCCTATGATATCCCCACACTATCCGACCATATCTAGCCTTGCTAAGAGATCTCCACAACATCCTACCTCCTCATGATATCTCTTTAGACCCTCTTTGATATCCCAACAACATCTTACTTTATCTAGCCTTCGCATGACATCTCCACAACATCCAAATACATCTAGCCTTCTTATGATATTTCAACAACATGCTGCTATTGTTAGCTTTCTCATGACATGTCAGAGTATTCCGAAAACATTCACCAATATCTAGCCTTCTCACGATATCCCAACCATATCCGACCACATCTTGCTTTCTCATGATATCCCAACAATATCCAACAATATCTAGCTTTCTCATGATATCCCAACCATATCCGACCACATCCGACCACATCTAGCTTTCTCATGATATCCCCACAATATCCAACAATACCTGGCTTTCTCATGATATCCCCACAATATCCGACCATGTCGAGGTATGCACAGTGTAACGAAGCCTGACTACCAGAGCGTGCTTCTAGCTTTTTATGAAAAGTAATTAATTCTACCTATTGTGAAAGCTTTGTCAAACGTAAATAACTGTAGTCACGTACCAGGAATTGAACCATACAGAAAGGGAACGACACGTTTTATGATTTTTATAGTCGTAAAGCACAATGTATCCAATATCCATAATTACACGCAAAGTGTTTTTCTGAAACCAAGACCCGAATATCCCACTGGTTATTGTAGTTCAATAGGGAGCAAAATCTATCGAAACGCACTGAAAGATGTTTTGTCTGTAATTGCTACCTTGTGTTCTATTAGTACAATATTATGTCTGGTGTTTATTTTATTCGATATTGATTTAAATAGCAAACTGAAAATATTTGTCTGTAGTTTAGTCATGTATCTACTGACAACAGTTGCCATGTGATACGTAAACAATCAGTACGGTATTTCAGTTTCCATCATCTAACATCAAAGTCACTGATCCTGATTTGTGACACTAAATGTAACCAAGATCAACCTAATAGTAAATGTTACGGTGTATATTCCTACAGACACTAGCTGTTACTGTATACAGTCCTACAGACACTAGATGTTACTGTGTACAGTCCTACAGACACTATATGTTACTGTGTACAGTCCTACAGACACTAGATGTTACTATGTACATTCCTATAGACACTAGATGTTACTGTGTACAGTCTTACAGACCTTAGATGTTACAGTGTACAGTCCTACAGACACTAGATGTTACTGTGTTCAGTCATACAGACAATAGATGTTACTGTGTATAGTCCTGCAGACACTACACGTTTCTGTGTACAGTCCTACAGACACTGCATGCTACTGTGTATATTCCTAAAGACATAAGATGTTACTGTGTACAGTTCTACAGACACTATATGTTACTGTGTACAGTCCTACAGACACTGCATGCAACTGTGTATATTCCTACAGACACTAGATGTTACTGTGTACAGTTCTACAGACACTATATGTTAATGTGTACAGTCCTACAGACACTAGATGATACTGTGTACAGTTCTATCGACATTATATGTTACTATGTGTACAGTCCTACAGACACTGCATATAACTGTGTACAGTCCTACAGACACTAGATGATACTGTGTACAGTTCTACAGACACTATATGTTACTGTGTACAGTCCTACAGATAATAGATGTTACTGTGTACAGTCCTACAGACACTATATGTTACTGTGTACAGTCCTACAGACACTGCATATAACTGTGTACAGTCCTACAGACACTAGATGATACTGTGTACAGTTCTACAGACACTATATGTTACTGTATACAGTCCTACAGATAATAGATGTTACTGTGTACAGTCCTACAGACACTATATGTTACTGTGTACAGTCCTACAGACACTAGATGTTACTATGTACATTCCTATAGACACTAGATGTTACTGTGTACAGTCTTACAGACCTTAGATGTTACAGTGTACAGTCCTACAGACACTAGATGATACTGTATACAGTCCTACAGATAATAGATGTTACTGTGTACAGTCCTACAGACACTATATGTTACTGTGTACAGTCCTACAGACACTAGATGTTACTATGTACATTCCTATAGACACTAGATGTTACTGTGTACAGTCTTACAGACCTTAGATGTTACAGTGTACAGTCCTACAGACACTAGATGTTACTGTGTTCAGTCATACAGACAATAGATGTTACTGTGTATAGTCCTGCAGACACTACACGTTTCTGTGTACAGTCCTACAGACACTGCATGCTACTGTGTATATTCCTAAAGACATAAGATGTTACTGTGTACAGTTCTACAGACACTATATGTTACTGTGTACAGTCCTACAGACACTGCATGCTACTGTGTATATTCCTACAGACACTAGATGTTACTGTGTACAGTTCTACAGACACTATATGTTAATGTGTACAGTCCTACAGACACTAGATGATACTGTGTACAGTTCTATAGACATTATATGTTACTATGTGTACAGTCCTACAGACACTGCATATAACTGTGTACAGTCCTACAGACACTAGATGATACTGTGTACAGTTCTACAGACACTATATGTTACTGTATACAGTCCTACAGATAATAGATGTTACTGTGTACAGTCCTACAGACACTATATGTTACTGTGTACAGTCCTACAGACACTAGATGTTACTATGTACATTCCTATAGACACTAGATGTTACTGTGTACAGTCTTACAGACCTTAGATGTTACAGTATACAGTCCTACAGACACTAGATGATACTGTATACAGTCCTACAGATAATAGATGTTACTGTGTACAGTCCTACAGACACTATATGTTACTGTGTACAGTCCTACAGACACTAGATGTTACTATGTACATTCCTATAGACACTAGATGTTACTGTGTACAGTCTTACAGACCTTAGATGTTACAGTGTACAGTCCTACAGACACTAGATGTTACTGTGTTCAGTCATACAGACAATAGATGTTACTGTGTATAGTCCTGCAGACACTACACGATGTGCTACTGTGTATATTCCTAAAGACATAAGATGTTACTGTGTACAGTTCTACAGACAATATGTTATGTTACTGTGTATACTGTGTACAGTTCTATAGACATTATATGTTACTATGTGTACAGTCCTACACTATATAACACAGTTTCTGTGTACAGTCCTACAGACACTGCATGCTACTGTGTATATTCCTAAAGACATAAGATGTTACTGTGTACAGTTCTACAGACACTATATGTTACTGTGTACAGTCCTACAGACACTGCATGCTACTGTGTATATTCCTACAGACACTAGATGTTACTGTGTACAGTTCTACAGACACTATATGTTACTGTGTACAGTCCTACAGACACTAGATGATACTGTGTACAGTTCTATAGACATTATATGTTACTATGTGTACAGTCCTACAGACACTGCATATAACTGTGTACAGTCCTACAGACACTAGATGATACTGTGTACAGTTCTACAGACACTATATGTTACTGTGTACAGTCATACAGACACTAGATGATACTGTATACAGTCCTACAGATAATAGATGTTACTGTGTACAGTCCTATAGACACTAGATGTTACTGTGTACAGTCCTACAGACCTCAGTTGTTACTGTGTACAGTCCTATAGACACTAGATGTTACTATGAATAGTCCTACAGACACTAGATGTTACTATGAATAGTCCTACAAACACTAGATGTTACTATGTATTGTCCTACAGACACTAGATGTTACTATGAATAGTCCTACAGACACTATATGTTACTATGAATAGTCCTACAGACACTAGACGGTACCAAAACACTAGATGTCATTGGATAAAGTTATTCCAATTCAGTTTTCATTTGTAGTTATACGAACGCCGTTCTATGTATGGTTTATGGACTGTCAAGTCTCATTGACATTGTTACTGGGTTATAATATACACGAATGATTTATACTAGTATTTTGGTTTGATAGATCCAGGTTTTTAGTCTCATTACGTCAACCATTTAGTTAACTTAGGGAGTGTCTAGTTGAAAATCCAATACTTAATGACTTGTACTAAAATAAGTTTCGTTTGATGTTTTCCTATGATTGTTACGCTATTGATTTGAAATATAATGTTTCACGTAGGTCATCAATAATTGTGTTTGAACTAGATTTAATAAAGCGCTCTAGCCCTGAGTACAGTTGTTGCTTAAAAGGTATAATTTCTTTTTTTTCTGAAAGATTTTTTCTCTGAGTAGATAATTCAAAGAATTTGGTTAAATAACATCGATTCCATATCTGATATCGCCTGTTGCTTTCATGTGAATTGTAATAGAAGGACAATATTCCAATATGCTATGATTTAAACGAAATAAAGATGAAACAAAATTCTTTTCTGTGTCCCATGATTAGATTATTTGTCTTTTAGAATTTTCTAACTGATTGTGATATATAAAAGTCTTTTGACAGATTTACTTACCAACCAGAAGAAAATGATTATCATTTTCTATATCATTTACTAATGATTTTAATATCTTAATTAAAGCTGTACTGATTTGCCGTGATTCAGTGATCGATACACCTCTCAGTCAAGCATGGGAGACTGAGAGAGGCCGGAGAGGCTGCACTCTACGCTTTAATGCTTATAGGTGTTTTCCTAAGACTAATGCAAGGTATCACATGATGCCAGCAATTTGTAGCTGTTACAGGTCACTTTTTAGTCCCTTTATGTATATACTGATATCTCAGTTTCGTGCTTTCCTTATCCTTTGAGGCTGGAAACTGGTATTTAGAACTGCCCATGTATGTTATTGCAGATTTAGTTTAGATCACGTTTTGTTGTTTTTTCCAGATCGTTTACGGTTAAAACCAGAATCACAGATCATAATGTCACGCTTAGTATCGCTCTGGGGATACGCTACGTAGATTTCCATCTTCACCAGATTCTAACATCCATCACATTATCAACCGCCTGAAACCAGAGCCTCGGTATGGGGTGTGGACCGTCCCACCTTGTTCACGAAGAGGGAGGAGCCGCTAATACACCACGTGATAAGCCCAAACCTCAAGAGACCAAAATCGTGTCCAATGGCCACCCAGTAGCAGTGAAGGAAAACAACGCAAAGAATAAAGAAATACGAAAAACCACAGACACAAACGCCAACCGAGACGATGTTATCACAAACAATGCTCCTGGTAAGTAATGATATCATTCAAATCACTGTCCTCCCCTACCATTGGTTAATCTCAACCAATCATTGTAATGATGTACATGTGTATTAAACAGCATTTAAAGCTAATATTAACCAATCGTTGTTGTCGTTACGTGCCGAAGAAACTTAAATGTTAATATTGACCAATCGTTGTAGCCGTTATGTGTTAACGAAACTTTATGTTGATATTGACAAATCAATGTTACCGTTCTATGCTAATATTGACGCTTAGCTTTTACGCATTGTATCACGGTATGCTAATTTTCTGTTACATTTCTAATTCGCATTGTAAATTTTCCATATGATTTAATGTAAATATTTCATTTGTTTGTATGACGCATCAGTAGTGTTATCGATTTGGAGTAAGGATTGCAATTTTATGTACATATAGATATTTATTGCTGTTTATCTGGAACAGTCATTGTAATTGCTCTGTCTTAGATGACAATGCAGACACTAAATGAATAGATGTCAATAAAGATATAGATTTTTCCTCAATTTTTGATGCCATAGAGACAATGTGACACATTGTGTTAGTTTTCTAGCACCACAAATGCATCTGTGTGTATTGATTCCATATTGCCGTCACATATTTTAAGGCATGTGTCAAATTAATGACACTATTTGACATACATGAATAACTACTCAAAAAAGTAAGAGATTGGCAGACATGTATAGCCTGATGGGTGTTATTAAAACATGTAATTGGAGACGATTATCACGTGCAACTGCTCTATATAACACCTTGTAGTAATCTACATCACTGACAACAGTTAAGGTCGGTCTGGGGATGAGGAATAATGTGTTCCTGAGACCCACCATTTGTTTATTGAAAATTTTGTCATTATTTATTCAGAGGACCAAAAGCGATTATAAAATATTCTGAAGTATTCAAGAAACGTCAAGAAAATACCAACATGGCAACTTAACCCAATATCAACTCAGATTCCATAAAAATATCGATGAAGAACAACCATTTAAAAATGTAACTGTGTTGAAAGCAATGACAGAGAAGTCAAAGATGTTTTTGGCTACTTTCAAAAATCATGAAAATTAGAAAAATAAAAAGATATATAAAAATACGAAGTAATGTATATCAAAGCAACACCAAGTTTGGTAAAGTTTTCAAGAAATTTGGACAACGCAGATACAAGGCAAAGAGAAACTAGAGTAAGATTCCAGGTACGCATTTACACGTGCAAAAACTAGTCGTAATCAAAACCTGAAATATAACAGCACACACACACACACACACACACACAACACACACACACACACACACACACACACACACACACACACACACACACACACACACACCACACACACACACACACACACACACACACACACCCTCACACACACACACACCCTCACACACACACCCACCCTCACACACACACACACACACACACACACACACACACAAACATCGCCTGTTGAACGCGTGTTGAATTAATAACGAACTCAATTAACCGCATGCATAGGTTTGTTCTCACCATTCTTCACAGATCTTAAACTTAGACTCAATGACATTAATTCTCTTTATGAAAATAATTCAAAGTTCCAGAGTTGATTCATTTGCATTTTATTACTCATATAGTTTTTTACTAGTCTATTGTAGAAATTAAAAAACAAAATGCTTGTGAAACCTAACCTCTATCACTTATGGTCAAACCTTACACCTTGCACAACAAGTGAATCATTTTGCTTGGGGATATTTTAGATAATTCGGTCGACAAACTCGGTATGGGGAAGAAAGGACACATGCCAATACTACAGCATGTGTTTCACACAACTCTCAATAATCAACAGCACAGTGAAAGTTTGACATGTGTGTGGCAGTAGCCCAATAAAATCTGCATACATTACTCTTTAAATCGTTTGTAACACGACAACGATCCTGTGCCAGGGTTTTGGTTCACCACGTGGCATTTGATATTATCGGCATATAATGCTCTTAAGCACTGTAGTAAAACGCACAGCCAAATTAAGTGCAATATCAACCTATGTTCAGACTTATTCAACACTATCCTAGATGCTCTGATAAAACCAAATTACTGTGAATTCAACGCCAAATTTCAAATCTAAACAGATGATTACTGGTACGGTGTGTGAAACTTATTGATAATTTCTAATTTGTCTTAGGGTTATATATAAATTGAAGTTACTAGACCTAACTTTATCATCTTTTGTTAGTTTCCATAACACCTTTTCTCACAGTTAATTTTGATTATACGCTGGTGTGAGGTAACGCAATATCAGAGAAGGCTCACATTAACGAAGAATAAATGAATAATTAAAAAAGAAAAATCAATCAAAAACAACAGGTGATACTTCATTACATTAAATATAATTTACCACCATCGTCTGACATATACCAATAGGGTTGCTACTTTTTGGATGCAGAAAAGATGAACAGGTGCTTATCTAATTATATACTTAGTTAACAAGCGATATTTGTGTCAAATCGGGAATCTTGTTCTCAGACCAAACCTGATTTCTGGTTTCACCTCTGATTGTAATATTAGGAGTGAGTAATTTATTTTATCGGTTCCTTAGTTTCCGTTTTAATCGTTGGAGTTCAGATAAACCCATGTGCATTAGTGAGGTGGTATATTTTTCAATTTTGACTTTTCGGTCTTTCACCTTGCCGATACAAGTTTATTTATTCTTAGGATAACGGTTCCAAATTTGACTCGTAGCTACTTACATGACATAGAAAGGGCTGAAGTTCTCTTTTCTGTTAAGAAAATTGAACATTAGACATATGTTCGTGTGTACAATGATTACGTTTATATAGTCCATCGTAGCGTTAAATAAATCACAAACATTTATTCCTCGATATCATATCTCTTTTGATATTTGAAGATACAATAAATATGTATTCATTGTTCACGTCACTCAATATGTGCATTTTCATGACGATGATTAAGTAAAAATCGGGTTTTGATATATTTTCAGCTCTTCCCAAGTCTATCAGTTTTTCTGTGGGAATGGACGGGGAGGAGAAACCGAGCCTCATCGCCAAGCACCCTCCTATGAAGCTAAAGGTAACAGAATAGAATATCATTTCGACCATTTTGGTTCGCTCTCTGTCGAGTCCTATTTTTCACCTTTACATCACTAATGAGTCCTAGAAGGACAAAACAGCTGTATGATTAAGTTTAACTCAGGTTTAGGCTCTGCTCCATCTTACTCTAATTTTATATACAAGGTGTCGTCAATTGACAGGCAAACTCATAACACAGAGTTTCAAAAGATGCATGTTGATGAAAATTATCGGGAGGTTTTACCGTCGTCATAGTGATCTCATTGAGAATTTGTTTTTGTGCGATATGAAGCTTAAGATATATGGTGCTCCATATTTTGCCACTTGGTCCCATTTTTATAAACCATGTTCGCGCTTGAGAACGTGACTTTATTACGTGAATTGACCAAAGTTTACATGACGAGTGTCGTTGATGAAGCAGAAAACACTGACACTTCAGGAACACCTGGTCTTATTCTCCTTGTACTTTTCCAGGTGTCTCCGTCTTTCTTTTGATCACATTTACCCTGGTTTTATTGAATTGGTAGCTTTGAGTAAAAATCTTTTATTTTCCCACAATAAAATTGCATTAAATCTAATCATGACGTACACTCCGATTACTTGGTGATAGTAAGGGCATTCCATTTAATGCATTTAATGTTCACCATTGTTTTTTATTGTCTTCAAATATGAGTTCACAGATGCTGCCTTACAACGTGCCTGGCAATGCATTAGCATATGTTTCCTCATATGAATTTTATTTTTATAATTAATAGAAAATATGAATTTATTAATGCTGTCTTTTTTTCCCTTTTCCCGTTTATGTTTTTATTTGCTTTTGATGTTTCTGTCGACATCTGTTTCAGCGATTAGAACCCCTGAATATGCCTATACTGACTCCGGAGCTTCTCAAAGAAAAACAAAGGCTTGCAGACGAGAAAAGAGATAGGGTATAGTATATATTTGTACTATAACAACACATGTAGTATCAGAAAGTCTAGTGCACCTCCAAATCTAGGGTTTGACTTTCCTTGTGATTACTTTGGGTGCCTACTATAGATGTACTTCAAAATTAAGGCCCGTAGTATCACTGACGAGTTCTATAAGGACGAAACAGCTGTATGGTGCAGTTTCAGTCGTTGTTTAGCTCTACTGTATCTAACTATGAAATTGTAGTAAGATGTGCTATTCACTTGTGTGTTTTTTGTACAATTTGCTTACCTTAACCAATGAATATTCTTTTTTACACTTTTCTTTCCTCTTTTTGAAATGTTTTTGTACATACTTATGTTATAATTTGATATAAAATCGGAATAAGACATTGATTACATAAAGTACAAATAAAAATATCTGACAGTTAATATATAACAATTAAATCTGGAATAATTTATTTTGCTGGTTATACATTTATTTAGACAATACTATACAATATTTGTTCATGAACACATGCATGGAGTTAAAATTGTTCTAGGGTACTCGAATTTAAAAAAAAAATCATGTTGTTAAAAAAATTGGAAGTTAAATAACACGAAATGATAGATGACAAATTGCTACCGCTATATTTACATAAGGCCATAGTCAAACTGTGTACCGTTTTTACAACTGATATTGAAATTGCTTTCTGCTTTTATGATATGGTGTTCACACCTTTATGAATGTTGCGTGAACATTTATACTTCATAGAATTACTTATTCATAGGCGAATAGTTCACATCTATTGTAGGGGTAGTGATGATTGTAGCACGTATCATTAGAGAGGCATGAAAGGCCGTATGTATATACTAGTGAATTATTGATTCCAGTTAACACACAGTAATTCGACATGTATGAACGCCACTGATGGTCGAGCTGAAAGTATACCTAGTCTTACCAGCTTAATACGAATTCATACATATATTTAACAAGGAATACTATCGAACTTTCACTCAAAACTAATTTTCATTCATCTCCATAATACATATAATCTTATTATTAATATGTTTGAAGAAAATTTCAGAAAAATCAATTTGTTGAAAATTGCAATGCACGTTGTCAATACAGGAATACTTGTTAGTACACATAGGTACCCACCTGGTACTGATAAACGCGATAGTACCGGGAAGTATCGATTATGTGTATTGTGTGATATTTGCCTTCCTTAGTAATGACCAAATATTGACCATTCTAGTCTATACATTAAACATTTAAATGCTTTTATTGTGCGATGTTTTTACTGGATACGTTGCCTTCAGACTAAGGATACATTCTATCTATAATTAATAATCCGGTCGTAAAGTGAGGTACACGTATAAATCCGACAAACACACTCCCGATACTATCCATTGATCGTAGACTCGGGAGACGTGATTCAACTTTATGAGTGTATTGTATTTTTTTTTTTAAATATGGAAACTTACAATCGGAGCAGTTTAATGTTCAACTGTTAAATAAAAAGGTGAAGGCATATGAATTACAAAAGAAAATCAACACGTTAGGTCCTTAGTCGTTTTTACCTTGATGAGGTTTCTCTGAATTTGTTTAAAGTGTTGATGTTTCATTATCAGTTAAGTTATGCTAATATAATGGACGTAGGATAACAATGTTTTGTAATCAAACTTTATTTCCCCTTAATGGAGTTTTAAAAAATATTACAACTGTACAAACTAATCGAAAACAGTTTTATTCCTTTTTCACTCGTGCCTGAACTTTACTCTAGATATGTCAATACTTATCGTGTAATGACAGTCGACATATCTATACCTTGTTTGGTCTTCAGAATATGCTCATAAGATTTGTTTAATATAATATCAAACAAAAGTTTACATGGTTACTACGAAATTGCCCCTGCACTTATTAGGAAAGGGATTAGGAAATGATAGCCTGGAACAGTTGGTAGGAATATTGAGATCTCAGGGTTAATGAAAAATCTGTCGAATTTTACTTTCTCGCATGTCTTTCATGCTGCTGAAATATATCACCCGCCTGTTTGATATTACAGGAACTGCAGCGTAAAGTTAGTGCTTCCCGAAAGTCATCTAAACGGCGGCGAGAGCTGATGGCAGCTAAAGATTTTGAATTGCAGCAAATGCAAGAACAGGAACAGACGGTAGGATTCAATAATTGTTCGAATATTTTACGTGTCGATGTTTTCTTTGTTGTTTCAGAAATCTGTTTGAGATATGGTTTCGTATTTCATGACTGTAGCTTTTTGGGTTTGTTTTTAGTGATTTTGTCTGTACTCTTAATCCACGAATATTTATGTCCACGAACTGTCTAAATTTGTTTCGGGAGGTGAAAAAAGAAGTAAAAAACCGAGCCTCACGAGTTTATATGCAGTTGGGTGTATTTTCTGCTGGTACAGACATACATAATACATTTTTTTCCTGTAAAAACAATTATCTTTCGTCATAATTCAGAATTGTATCTGTCGTCTTTTCTGTTATTGTTTGCGACAACAACGACGATAATTGTCAAAAACAAAAATGTTTACATAGCCCAATTATGAAATTAATAATCATTATCATCTGTCCCTGATTCTCAATTTATCCTAATGTATTTATGAATTTTGTTTAACAGAAAATGCAGTCGGCCGAGGCACTACGACTGGCTAAACTGAATGATATTAAAGAGAAACAGAAAATACGCGAGGAACGCGCTAAGAGAGCTAGGGAAAAGGTAAGTTTCGAAAGATTTAAAATGTTCTTTGAAATATTTTCTGAATTATGGCATTTTATAGAGAGTAACTTTCAATTTCAATGTCCGATTACGACTTTCAAACAATCGCTGCAGTTTGTCGGCGATAAATTGATTATGTGAATTTTGCTAGTAAAATCTACGTGCTAAATCGATGCTGCTATAATGTTACAAACACATTAGGTATGTTTTATTATTGATTTTTCTCACAAACATTTAAATAAAGCATGAGCAAAAACATTTGATGACGTCGACAGTCTTTCGTCCGTCAATTCAATATTTTTTTTTTGGTTCATATTTTCGCAGCTGTATAAAAAAAAGGTCATTTTTCACAGAAGCCATGAAATTGACTTCAGTTTTATCAATATTTTAAAATTTTCAAGTTACTTAATACAGAAGTTTAGTTTCATGTTTATAACCAATTGTAACTGTTAGGCCCAACGGATGAAGCAAGCTGAGCAGGCAGACCTTGGTATTTTAGAGGTGGAGAAGGATGATCACTTTAACGCAGATGATGGTAAGACACGTGTTGTTTAAAGTGGTATGGTACAAAGATTTCTCAATAGTTCATACCAGATTTCATTGGTTTAATTTTGTCTATTACATACTGCACTCTGACTTTTCCCTTTTTTTGTTTTACAAAAGATGTAAATCCCGAACATAAAAAAAAAAAAAAAAAAAAAATCCTCTTCATATGATATTTTTAAATCCAGGATCATTACGGATGATTTGGAAACATTCTTGAAAATATACAAAATTTATTCAATAATTTGACACAAATAACATTACCATCTATATGTAAATAGTTGATTCAGCCGGCTTTGATTTTTCTATATCACTCCCTAGATTTCTATACTATAGGTCCCTAACATCATTGACGAGTCTTAAGACAACACAGCTTTCTGATGCAGTTTAATTCCTTATTTGGTGTACAGTTGTTTTATACTTTGTACTATTGTAAACTAGATAATCCTGTATAGTATAGAACATTGGAAATCCAATCATAATCTGTGCTATGCTAAGTGTTCATTATCTCTCTGTGAATTTGTGTTGATAAAGTGGATTGGTATATGCTGAATAATTTAGATTAATTTAGCGGAACAGCCCTTAGGTATCACACAATGGTAATAACAACTGCGCCCATATAATATCATGGTATGAATAATGGATGGAATCCATGCTGCTTTGTAATGATAAATTCTGCACTCCTTTCGTCTTGACAGCCGATTCCTGGTTAGATGGCGACAACAACAACTCCAGGGAAGACCGGTCTGAAATGGGTGACAGAGTTTACTCGGGAGGGCGATGTAGCCCTCAAAAGCAGGTGCTAGACACGACAAATCACCGTTACCCCAGCGCTAGCACCGTCGATAGTTTCGACAATGCTTATAACAGAAAACCGCCCAGTGCTTCAGCACCTCGTCAAAATCAGCTACCAGAGGAAACGGACGATTTTTTCGATTCTTGACACGGTATACGTGCTGCACTATAGGATCTATTACAATTCGTTGTAAAGTGTCATATTGCTCAATTGAAAAGAATATTCTTTCTTAGCTATCCTGTTGACGTAATGCACTGGCCTGCCTTTCAGGTCAGGGTCGTTAAATTAAGTTATATTTTTTATTCAAAAATGTTTATTGCATTTATTATATTTTTTGGGATAAATCAGTGGATTTCACATCATTGATTACGTATAATGTGAGGTTTAATTATAAAATTTTCAAAGAAGTAATAATCAAAATAAATACCATTCTTCAGTTTAAATTAATAAATTACTTCGAACTTAATGTGAAATTCTCTGAAATAATTGCGTTTGTAGTACAATGAAACTATGATGCTTTCACCATTACTTTTATTGATTTCATTTCACTATTGAAAAATGTGCTGTTTAAATCTTTGGGACCATCCATGGCATTCTATAAGTAATGTTCTTAAAAATAGAAGAAGACCACAAATTAACTAATTTCAAAAATCTCGTCAAGAGTTGTTTCAAGCAAATCAGTGACGATTAGAAATTATCATAAAATGTCAGTTGTTTATGCAGTCTGATCTACATATTTATTTAGTATTTTGAAGATGAATACTGTTTCAAGAATTCCAACATCTCATAATTAAGTGATGTTAGTAACTTTAACAAAATAATCTGAGATGTACCACTGCATTATCTTCATATTGCATTCTATTGCTATAAAAATACAACTGAACACGTTATTTTATGAACAAAAAAATATTGATAGACACCTTCACAGCATTGGCATTAAAGCACTGAACTTTGGATGAAATTCGAATAAGGTGACATTTTGTTAAGCCTGGTATTAACGTTCATTTATTTCGTATTAGGGATTGTAATGGATATGACCTGTCTCCAAAATATCCTTGTATATGAGCCTTAGGAAGTGCCTGTATGTAACCTGTTACCTGTCTATTGATAGCATAGGCATAGAATGGGAATGAGTGTGATAAGTGAGTGTATTATTGATAATTTGTAATATATAATATCAGATTAAGTGAAGGCACTTTTTGAGTGACAAGGTGATGCAGTATTAAACAATTTAATATGATGCCAGTGCTTATGTGTTTTGACTGTCAATCAGTCTGTCTTTCGAAAGGTCGGTGCGGTGGTTAGTTTCATGTTTCATTTCTATAAGTCTCATAGTACACATGTGATATATTTGTACATGTAAGTATTTCTTCAAATCACTGCCCTACGTACACAGATATCACTTTCTGACTGGTAATATGGGACAAATCTACGAGTATCTAAATTCATGAGTTTCTTGAATTGATCATCACTTACATTGAATATGCTTTATTCGAATATTTCATATTTTTTCTTAAGCATACCGTTTGATAAAATGGAATATAGAAGCCATCAGAAAAAGATTATTAAGGACACTATTTTCACGTTACTGGTCCTTCAACACTGCTCTTTGAACGGAAAGGAAATAGAATAATACAATATTACGGCTTGAATAAAAATTCCAAAATGAGATTTTCTTGAAAAGTAGGCGATAATCAAAATATTCGATTAAAAACTGAAAATGAAAAAGCTCGTTTCTACCTTGGATTTTACGACCTGTTAAATTCTTAAATCTGTAACACTTTTCCTATTCTTTTACTTAAACATCTTTGAAATAACATCGTTTATATTTCGAAATGGCTATTTTTTTAGCTATTATTCGTCTTTTCTTCTCGTCAATTATTCACGGAAACACGTTATACTGCCTTTATCGTTTCAGAGTATCCATTAACATTCTGTTGAAATTAACTTGTTAAAATATGTGTCATGATATTGCTGTTTAGTATGCTGATATACAATAAAATTCAGATGGTATATATTTTCCTCCTAAGCAAACAATTCATTCTGACGTATAAACTGTACAGTGTTCACACTTTCATGTACTGACATTATTTTGTGTATTTATTTACTTTCATTACAACTTTGTGGCAATTCAAAAGATAATATTTAATTTATTTGATTCAATTTGATATGGTGCTTTGTATTTTTTCATTTATCATCTTCAACGTTTTTATTTTAGATAGGTGTGTGCATTTCAGTATTGAGGTGAAATAGTCCAGTTGTATAGTCTTAACTTATAATCAAGTGTTATTGTGTTTTTGTAGTTTAATTTCACATCACTAATTAAAATGGGAATGAAATAGAATCACACCATAGTTTCTTCCATTTTCGGTTTTCAAATTATGCAAATGTAGATGAAATAGACAATATATTTCCAATGAGCTGGGGCGATTAACAATCTTTATGCGTTATTTAAAAAGAAAGGATAATCTCTTGAAAATATTTTCTTTGGACTGTTAACATGATGGCATTCCAACAGAATTCATCTGTTTAAACCTGTCTATAATTGTTTAAAACGTGTAATTTAAAAGACAGTATGTGAAGTCAAATCTTATCATTTTGGCGTGAACTTTATCCAATAAGTTTGCAATGAAATATGAGAAGATAAAGAGCAAACTCAGTGAGAGTAAGAAAATAAGAATGTGTATTAGTGTTCACTTATCTCTACAAATGTGATTAAAATTTACCTTATCAAACGCCGACTGGATCCCATGAAATAGCGGTTAGTTTCTAATTAATTTCTTTTGTAGTGTTGTGTTGAAAAATAATGTGATATTTACCAATTCCGTCCATGTATAATAGTAATATAGTATGATAAACACATTGGAATATATTTATTTACTTGTATATATGTACTTGTGGCACCTGTTGATGTATTTACACTGGAGTAGATACGGAAATTATTGTATACCTCATGCCATTGTATAAACCAACTCATTTTTTGAAAAGTGAAAAAATATGTCAGTATTTGCAAATGAACCATAAAAAATGTTGTATTTGCTTCAAATTACGTTCTATATGTTGCAAATTATAGCTGATCTCTTGCTGTACGATGCTCTGAAGTAATCTAATATATACAACATCATTTGATCTGTGCTACTTTACAAAATATTGTGTTTTGAATCATAGTAATATGGATCTCCGTATATTTGTTGATTAACTGTCTCAAATAATTGCCTTGCAACACAGAAACATTTGCATGAATGCATTTTTACAAATACTATCGTTACTTGTGAACTGTTTTCCAGTTGGAAAATGTTTGATTTTTCTTCCGTTGTCCTATTTTAACAGTTGGATACGAACAATAATTAAAAAGAATTGCTATTAAGACGAAATTTACTGCATCGTTTTCAAATGATGTTTTTTCCTTTACCGAACCACAGAAATTCACGATCAAAGACCCACAGACACTCGTTATCATTTTGTCTATGATTCAATATTGATAAAACAGTTTATTTACATCAGAAAAAACCCAAAAGACAAAACTTTTTATTTGCTGTTATTATTGTTGAAGAGTGTTATTAATGACCTCCGGCTATAATGTACCTTAACAGCAAACATTTTAACAAATTTCTTTGTTTGAATTTCTTTTTTTTTCAAAGGAAATAGTAAAATAGCGTACATCTTTGAAACTAATATCGGCAAAATTAAGATTTCATTTTCAAGAAATACATAATTTTGAAGTAGCACGCCAAAATTATACAATCACTGATGGTCTTTCACACTAATAAATAACTGTTAATTTGTCATTCTGTGATACAAACATTTCCATATTTTTGTATACAAAACATGTTTGAGTTGAATATTTATATTACACAATAAATAATAAATGAATCCTTTGTCATTTATTTTGTCCACAAATCCATTGCTAATCCAATACACTTGTAGAACTATGTCATCTAGTTCCATGGTTTGTACAACGCGAGGAAGACAAAGGGAGACAATCGGAAGTTAAATTTTATATAAGATGTATATTCATACCAGGATAATCCTTCTGTTTAGATATAACAATTATATTGCGTTGAGAGATTATATAATAACAAACAATATCTGTTGAATGACTTTACAGACTTAAATATATTTCTGATCTCAAACTGAAAGCTAAGCAGATTTGCCAATAAAATAGCATGGATAGCATTTCCTTGGCTACATGCATGGGTTTATTTCCTTGCAAATTATTTCCACTCTATTTGGATACATTCTTTAACGATGCATTCGTAATGCAAGCATTCAAGGTAAAACTACAACACATCTGAAAAAAGATTAGACATAAGAGAGATAATGTGACATATATTGAACATTCAATATCAGTAACCGTTTTTGTTGATTGCCTTTTTCATATTAAACTAATTACTATATATCAATGTTTACGAAACGTCGCAGACCCGTGATGAGGTTCATGTAAGCCCCTATATTGTGTTAAGATATTAAGTTTGTGTATACAGGTGGTCGTTAAAATTGTTTTTATATATAATGTATAATGATTAGCGAATTGGTTTAACTGCATTGTAATTGATTTATTTGTATTTGAACAATGTTACCTTTCCATTCATGCAAACTGCCAGTGTAACTTACAGGTAATGGCTCAATTTTTCTTGATTACATGTTGAATTTGCCGCACAGACATTGTTTTGCTACTATCGATAAAAATGGGGTGCTTCACAAAAACGTTGAGAATGATGTTGTTTTTATGTTTACTAACAACATGCGCATTCTCAAATATGAATAATCATTTACTCCTTTATAAATTAGTGTCGAGTACACTATTTTAGAACATTTCCTTCAGGTTCGTAATGTCAATAGAAAAGGCATATACGTTCTGCTAGGTCTTTCGAGGTCTCGCATATCAATGACCAAGTTTTAAAAAAAAGTAGACGATTTGACTACAAAATATTGTTACCATCTGGTGTATTACTTGGCCTATAATCTGTTTACCATCTCGTCACACTATTTTCGACCTTAGTGTACGTACGATTATAGTACAGCCGGAAAAACTGGTCGATTCCGTACCGTCTCGCACACTACGTACGTCAGTACTAGTACGCCCCACTCTGGTCATTTGTCTAATGTCTAAGATGGCCGTGCAGTCATCGGAACGTCACACTCAA